TGGATAAAGGAAATCTTTCAGAATATAAGTATTCCAGTGGTAATCCTGTCAGCCAGCGACGTTTATATCAATTTCCAGGAGTTTTCCCGACCGCTACACGTTATGTGCCTTCCTGGGCTGGAACTCCAACATGATCTGGAGCTACTCAAGAAACTAACCACACCTTTAAAATACTTTCCTAGTCACAAAAAACTGTTCTATTTATCCAATAGATTTTCCAATCAATCCCGAATAGTCTCCCTCCTCGAATCCTGCTACCGCCGAAGGATTTCGAAAATCGTTGGGCTCTTAGCTGCAGATGAGCATCTCTATTTTTACAGATATAACTTATATCCTTCTTTCCAAACGGAGAATCGACCTCTTCAATCTTCAACCATCTTCGACCGGGAATACCCCAACATGCATGGTCATCCTTTGATTGTGGTGCCCGACCAATGGCTTCCTCGTTCCATTCTATATGTGGACAAACGAACGGGTAAGCAAGTCCTAGCTGGATCAGTGGGGCGCTTCATCCATGTGCTGGCCTGGAAGCTCAACGCTACTCTGCAGCTTGCCCAGACGGTGACCCCTGGACGCTTTCTCCATGCGAATGACCTCCAGGAGCTGGGCAAGAGCTTGTCTATTGACATTCCTGCCAGTATGTCGATGCTAGAGCGAGGGGAGCAGTTGGCCCGCACCAGTTATCCTTTAGAGCTGACCCACATCTGTCTGATGATCCCGGTGGCCCAGCGAATTCCCTTAAGGGACATATACTTTCTATTGAGCAGTGTTTCCAATATGCTCCTGTCTGTAGGCATTGTTTTCACCTACGGATTTGTTTTGAGCCTTATCCGGAAGTTAACCAATCGTGATGTCCATCTGGCTGACTTCCTGCTGAACGACAGAGCTCTGCGTGGAATATTGGGCCAGTCCTTCCGGTTGCCTCTGTTGAGAAGTAGTCCCAGCAGGTGGATATATCTGATGCTGGGAATAGTGGGTCTCAATGTGAGCAGCATCTTTGAGGCAGCCCTGGAGACGATGATGGCGCATCCACCTCGGGAATTTCAAGCCCGAAGTTTCACTGATCTTCAGCGCACCCGAATTCCTTTGGTTACCACCGAAGAAGACTTGCACACGTTGGTGGATCTTCATGTGACCCTGCTGGCGGTCAATGTGAGTGAGTACCATCACCTGAGAAATGGGCGGAACTCCAGCAATGCTTACTTCGCCTCTCGATTGCATTGGACCCTGTTCAGTGAGCAGCAGAAGCGCTTCTCCCGGGAGCTCTTCATTTACTCCATGGACGCCTGCCTGCGGTCGCTGGCTCTGCTCTCTTTCCAGTGGCCGCAGAGTTCCTTGTTCGCAGACGCAGTCAGCAAACTCATTCTGGATGTGAGGGCCAACGGGCTCTATCAATTCTGGGTCGGAATGCATCACTACGACATGACAGAGGCCGGCTTGGCCAGCATGGAGGATCCCAGCCTGCGACTGAATGAAATGATCGAGACTACTGCTTTGCGGTTGGTGGATCTGCAATGGGTGTGGTTGGCCTACGGAACGCTCCTGGGCATCGCGCTGCTGATATTCCTGCTGGAAGTTTTTTGGAGGAGCATCACTGGTTCTCTAATCATTTACACATTTATTGGATAACTCGGAAAACCGCGCAACACATCCGATTTGAAACATAAATTAAAAAATCACTTAACACTTAATAATTAATCATTGTAAAATAAAGATACTAATCATCATCTATGATTTCAATGGGAGACTTGGAATCATTAGCATCATCGGAACCGTCCGAGTCGCTTGTGGGATTCTTAAGTTCCTCTATCTCATCCTTGAGGTCTTCTATTTGTTCTTCATACCGCCGTTTCTGAGACGAAAGCTGTGAAAAATGGAGTTTTTGAAAAAGAACAAAGTTTAAGTTCCATAAATTATAAACTAATGATCTGAATAAAATTACCATGAATTCCGATTCCCTCTGAGCAATCAGAAGTTTTTTTTCGCACTCATCTTCATGTTGTTTCTTGTTATTTTGGATTATCTCCTGGTAGGTGGCAGTGAGTTCACTTCGCAGTTTCTCCTCCAGAAGTTGCATTTGGAGGACATGATCGTACCGCAGCTGTTCAATCTCCAACCGCAGGCGAACGTTCTCGTCCTCCAGCTCCTTGGTGTACTCGTCGCCGCCTTCGTACGTTGACATCTTCGAGAATTCCATGAAGCCGCAGAAGCTGACCCGATGCTGCTTGACCACGGGTTCCTTGAAGATGATATTCTTCGCGATAGAGGCAAAGTTCAGTACGTTCAAGTTCTCTTCGTAGTATTTGTCCAGCGGGGTAATCGTCACGATCATGGCCAACTTCTCCTTACCCAGCAATGCCGCCTGCAGCAGCATCGTGAGTTTAGAGTCGCGGTAAGGAATGATGTCCGCGTTCTTCTTTTTCTGCACTGTGCTGGCCGCATCCAGACAACGGCCCAGCACCATCAGCGAGGTGTTGATGTTCTTGGCCTCCTTGAGCCGTAGGCCCGAGGTTCCCGTGTTGTTCACCCGCTCCGAACCCGCCAGATCGCAGAACTTGTACGAACTCTGGGTGGTGATGCCCGAGCGGTTGTACTTGAGTATGTCCACAGTGAAGACACAGTGGGACCGACTGGAGTTGGCGTTCACCGAGGTGGAGGCATATGTGGAGCGTTGTTGGCCCAACCGGAGCAGACGCAGCGCTTCTTCGCTGCTCGTCACGAAAACACTGGTCAGCCCCTTGATGAACACCTGGCCCTTGTTGCCCACAATTTTCAGGTTTTTCCGCGGGACCTCGCCCAGCTTGTCCTGTTTGGGCGGAATGGCCAGCAAGTCGTACACAAGTTCGTTGTAGATCTCCACAAAGGACACCCAAACCAAGACGGAAACGTCGGTGGAAGACTTCGTCTCGAACGTGTGATCCCCATCAATGACCTGCTTCAGTCGTTTGTGATGGGCACCGATATCCGGACACAAGTCTAGGAGCTTTTTTCTAATCTGCAGCTCCTTCAGCGAGGCGTCGTCCTGCAAGAAGACAATGCAGCCGTTGATCAGCTTTAGCTTGGGTGACCGGAAGATGGTGTCCTTGTACATGGTAAATATGTTCTCCAGGGCACGCGGAATGATTCCAGCACGAACGTCGTCCCCTGAAAAAGAATTTTAATTAATTATTGTCAATCAACAGATATCCTTTTAGCTTACCCAGCAAGGTGTACGTTTTTCCGGATCCCGAGGTGCCATATGTCATGATGGTCACACACTCCTCCTCCATGATCTTGGGTCCCACACAGACATTGTAGATGTCCCGCTGCCCAACGGTGCTGTCGAAGATGGAGGTGAAGCCAAAGTGCTTCTCCATGCGGTTGACATTGTTGCTGGTGGAGTCTACCTTGCAGCTGGTGATCAGCACATTGGCATCCTCTGAGATTATGTATGCCTTGGACGCGTCCTTTACGGGACGCACGCGCATAAAGACCTGTGGTCCCGTCTCCACGCTGCTGCTGTCTGCCGCACTGGTGGCGCACGAGGCTCCGTCCGTCGTCCCGGTGGTCTGGTACTTGTACTCCGATTCCGTGTCCGAGTACTCGGAGAAGCTCTCCTCCTCCGACTCTTGAATGTTGTCGAACAGACGCATCTTTTTGTTGGGTCGCGGCCGGAAGCGGCGGTCGATGGAGGGATCGCGAGCCATCAGGAAGGAGCGCGTCTCCCGCTTGGGCACCTCCGTAACCTCCTCCTTGCTATCCATGTCTGGTTTTTATGGATATAATGGCTCCTTTTCTTCCTTTTACTTCCTTTCGCGCTATTTTTCAGACGCCAGGGGGCTGCCAACTTCCGTTAAATTTAAAATGACTGCTGGCACACTGCTTAGTATGACCGTTGGAGCATTTAAATTGTCCGTTAAAAATACCATTTATGGGATTTTTTTAATTTCACATAGTGACGAATTGCATTCTGATGATCTACCGCTGACGTTTAATGTCAGCCCGCAAAAATTCCATTACATTGAATATGACAGTCCTGGAAGATCGGAGGTTAAAGTGTTTAACATTCGTTTTTCATTCAACTTTGAAGACAATATCAAAATGAGTAGAAATTTGTGAGCTGTAAATATTTAAATTCTCAGAGCGAGTGTCTGGCTATATCACTAGAATCATTGCATGAAAAATGTTTTGCCTTTAAAATATATGTATAAAATAAATATTATTTGGTTGAAAAATAATTGGGTTCTAAATTAGAACGCAAATATCCAGTTCACTGACTTGATTATCCCCCATTCTCCAATGTTGCCTATATGTCTGTAAGAATGTGCAGATCAGCAGCGTCAGCAAATAATTAGGTGACAAATTACCGGCACACTACCGTCCGTTTGTTTATTATTTGGTTAACAAGTCTGGACAGCATAATAATAACAGGGTGCGCAAATAGACCGTTCTGTCGCCAAATATGTACTCACAACGCCAATTAATTGCTCTTGCTTGCTTTTCTTTTTCCAGTCTGATTTTTTACGCCCTCTGTCTGTGAACTAAAAACAAATATTGAGCAAAGGAAAGAGTAATAGTAAGCGAAACAATTAACATTTGTTTTCACAAGGCAAATATTTTTGTAATAAAGTTCTTAGTGAATTGAAATTGCGGGCTTTGGTTTTGGAAACAGACTCCGACATGTGTTCTCTATCAAATTAGCTGTATATAAAAATTATATGATAAGTACCCTTATAAGTTTAGAAACTTGAAATATTAGAGATACAATTAAGATGAACGTGATTTGCTTTTGAAGGCACATTTTAAAATGGGCGCCCAAAAAAACTTGCGTAAAGTTGGCAGTCCTGTAAAGCTGAAAACAAACCGTTTTACAAACTGTCATTTTGGCAATCAAGGAATTCTAAGAATCCTAATACAATACTTAAAATAGGTGTTTATTAAAGATATAAGCAGCTATCTCTCTTACAACATTGTTAAAGACTTTTCTAAAAGCAATCAAATCACATTTTCAATTCCGTACGATGGAGTTACCTAAAATAGTTGCTGCTGGAAATCCCGGAAACGGAAAAACCATCCCTATTCCGGAATCCTCGGGGAATCCCTTCAAGCTGCCCTTGCCGCCCACCAAGACACCCCTGGCCAAGCCAAAGCCCTCATCTTCTCCGGGCTACGCCATCAAGGAATCGCTCCAAGGACACAATAACTGCGTTTCGGCAGTGAAGTTCAGTCCGGATGGCGGTCAGTTGGTCAGCGGATCGGCCGACAAGCTGCTCATGACGTGGGACGTGGAGGTCGGCAGATGCCTCCAAACGCTGGTCGGGCACGGGAAGGGCATCAACGATGTGGCCTGGTCGGCGGCGGGATTACTGGCCAGTTGCAGCGATGACAAGACCGTGCGGCTCTGGGATCCTCGCAGCGGAGTCTGGGTCAAAACGCTGGAAGGGCACGGCGGCTACGTCTTCGCCTGCTCCTTCAATCCGCAGTCCAACCTTCTGGCCTCCACCAGCTTCGACGAAACGGTGCGGTTGTGGGATGTGCGCACTGGGAGAACCCTAAAAAAAGTGGCCGGCCACCAGGATCCCATCACTTCGGTGGACTTCAACCGCGATGGCAGTCTCTTTGTCACCAGCAGCTTCGATGGACTGGTGCGCGTGTGGGACTCAAGCACCGGCCATCTGCTCAAGACGCTCATCGAGGATGATAACACGCCGGTGGGCCATGTGAAGTTCTCGCCCAACGGTCGCTACATCCTGGCCTCCACCATGAACAGCACCCTCAAGCTGTGGAATTACCAAAAGCCCAAATGCTTGCGGGTCTATCGTGGTCATGTCAATGTGGCCTACTGCCTGACCTCCAACTTCTCCATCACCGCGGGCATTTGGATTGTCTCCGCCAGCGAGGATGAGACTCTGTGCATTTGGGACCTGCAAAGCAAGCAGTTGGTCCAGAAGGTGGGCACCCAGGGCGACCGGGTGATCTGCACCGACTGCCATCCCACGGCCAATGTGATTGCCACCGGCGCAGTGCAGAACACTTTCGCCATCAGAATCTGGCAGAGCAGCGAGTAGTAGTAGTTGGAGCAATCCATTAGCCTTCCGATTAACCTGTAATTGCCATTCCTTTATCAAAAGGCCGGCCTGGCCATTAAGCAAACACGACGATTGTCTATGTAATTGTTGATCGTCGGACAGACTAACAGGGCTAACAAGATATGGCTTATGGCGGTACCGGTACCTGCTCTTGTAAATCTTATATGGCGAGCTCAAAGCCCGATTGCTTTCGGTCGTTGCTGTTGCGGTTGGTCGACGGAGATCGGAACGGCAGTCGCGTCTGGAGCGGCACACCGAGCGCACGCCTTAGCTCCCCGTTTTTTGTTTTGTCCATATATATACTCTCTTTTTGGAATTACCGATCTCACTGACGATTCTCAGTCCCACGAAATCCAGTTGAAAGCTGGAGAGACATCCGCCGAGATGAGAAGCAACGAGGGTGAGTAACTGTCCCGGGGTTTTTCCGGAAACAGAACCGCATTCAGGGTCAGTTGATTTATGTCTAGCGATCCCCATGCAGTGGGAAAGTGGGCTGTAATCGTATAAAATACGTGCCAATTCATAAAAGAGTATCGGAGTGGCTCTTATCTGCGTGGGGTAGTCCGAAATCCCGACTCGCCAACCGATAAGATGACCAGCACAATGGCAATAGGAGCAACGAATCGAAATAACGACAGATCGACAGATGTCCCAGCACACACTCTGCTGCCAGGGAAGATTAGCCCGATGGAGGAGGGGTTATCTATGCACGCGATTTACGACTACCAACTGATCCAAGGTTTGTTTTGCTGGCTCCCCTCCAGATAATCTATACCGGGAGCAGCTGCCCAACTTGGGATCCTTCATCAGGGATGGGGGTCGCAAGCTGTGTCGTCCGTCGACCGTGACCAACAAGTTCCCGATCCTGAAGTGGCTGCCCCGCTACCGGTTGGAGTACATCATGCAGGACTTTATCGCAGGATTCACGGTGGGATTGACTACCATTCCCCAGGCGATTGCTTATGGAGTGGTGGCTGGTTTGGAACCGCAGTATGGCCTGTACTCCGCCTTCATGGGTTGCTTTACATATATCGTTTTTGGTTCCTGCAAGGATGTCACAATTGGTGAGTTGGATGTGGGATCTATAAAATACCCATGCTAATCTGGTAACATCCCCTAGCTACAACCGCCATTATGGCTTTAATGGTCAACCAGTATGCCGAAATTTCTCCGGATTACGCTGTACTGGTTTGTTTCCTGGCTGGTTGCATAGTACTGATCCTTGGACTGCTCAACATGGGCGTCCTGGTGAGGTTCATCTCGATTCCAGTGATCACGGGTTTCACCATGGCGGCGGCCACCACAATTGGCAGTGCCCAGATCAACAATATTGTGGGTCTGACCAGTGAGTTTAGAAATATATTTATTATGACATTTATCTATTTGAAATCTAAATCTCTTCCGAAAAGGTCAATCAAATGACTTGCTGCCTGCCTGGAAGAATTTCTTCACCCACTTGCTTTCAATTAGGGTGTGGGATGCCCTGCTGGGCGTCTCTTCCCTCGTTTTCCTGCTGCTCATGACGGTAAGAGGGCAATTAATACACAAGTTTATAATATGTTGCCTCCAATTGAAACCAATCAGGCTCGTTTTCGCTTCTACTTCCGATCGATTGTTTGTTAAATACACAATCGTATTGTTTCGGGCTTAACACCTTCAGAAATAGCATGAAATTGGTATTTTATAACTCTTTTTAATCGATTTATTGTAAAATTTATATTAGCGTATAATTTTTCTACTTTTAAACAGCTAGAAATAAGCTTTTTACTTAATTTCTTGGTAAAAACAAAAATTATATTCTTCATTTTTTGGTTTTTAACTACAATAGTTACATGAACCCCTTTAAGAAACAGCTTGAAATCAGTTGTTAAAGTATTTATGTATTTTAAATCGATTGATTGTAAAATATTCTAGCAAGTCGATTTCGTTTAAAATACCTTCAGAAAGGGTATTACAAATTGTAATCTATAATTTTTTCAATCGTGTATTTATAGTTTTTAGCAAGTACTATTTCATCTTTTAAACTTCTTCTCTTTCAGCGCGTAAAGGACATCAAATGGGGCAACCGGATATTCTGGAAGTACCTTGGCCTCTCCCGCAACGCCCTTGCCGTGATCTTTGGCACCTTCTTGGCCTATATCCTGAGTCGAGATGGCAATCAGCCCTTCCGGGTCACGGGACCCATTACGGCCGGAGTGCCGCCCTTCCGTCTGCCCCCCTTCAGCACCACTGTGAATGGGGAGTATGTTTCCTTTGGCGAGATGATTAGCACTGTGGGCTCCTCCCTGGGCTCCATTCCCCTGATTTCGATTCTGGAGATAGTGGCCATTTCCAAGGCGTTCTGTAGGTATAATTAATATAACTCGCTGATCAGTAATCTAATGAAATGGTTTCCCCATTCACAGCAAAGGGTAAGATTGTGGACGCCTCGCAGGAAATGGTGGCTCTGGGAATGTGCAACATCATGGGCAGCTTCGTGCTCTCCATGCCCGTAACAGGATCCTTTACCCGTACGGCTGTGAATAATGCCAGTGGAGTGAAGACGCCTCTGGGAGGAGCAGTCACTGGCGCCCTGGTGCTCATGGCACTGGCGTTCCTCACCCAAACCTTCTACTACATACCCAAATGCACCCTGGCTGCCATTATTATAGCAGCCATGATATCGCTGGTGGAGCTGCACAAGATCAAGGACATGTGGAAGTCGAAAAGTGAGTTAATAGGTATTTACTTGGTGTTTATAGATTTAAATACTCTGCTTTACCTTTTCAGAGAAGGATCTCTTCCCATTTTTGGTTACTGTTATTACCTGCATGTTCTGGAGTTTGGAATATGGAATACTCTGTGGCATTGCTGCTAATATGGTCTACATTCTATATAGCAGTGCAAGTCCCCACATAGACATTAAACTGGAGAAGGTTAGCTTATCCTATCTTATCTGGTCTTGTATTAAACAAACTAATATATCTTTATGTCCCAGATCAATGGTCATGAAGTGAGCGTGGTGGATGTGAAACAGAAGTTGGACTATGCATCCGCGGAATATCTCAAGGAGAAGGTGGTGCGCTTCCTTAATAATCAGAATGGCGAGACGCAATTGGTGGTCATCAAGGGCGAGGAGATCAACTCCATTGACTATACAGTGGCTATGGTAAATATCACTTTATAACCAAACAGTTTATCTATCAGATTATAATGTTTATTCCCATCACAGAATGTTGTCTCCCTGAAGGGGGATCTGGAGGCCCTTAACTGCGCCATGATCTGCTGGAACTGGAACATTTCCTCCGCCGGAGTAGTTTGCCGCCTGAACAGCGATCTGCGCCCCATCTTCAAGTTCGATTTAACGCTGGATGAGGTGGTGGCTGGCCACTTCGACAGTCCCTCCAACACAGCCTCCACAGTGACCATCGAGGCCTAGACTACCTAGTTTATTTTCACTAACATTTAAGCTGAAAGTATTACCTCAAGATCACAATTTTAATAGATAGAGTTGCATTTAAGAAGAGCGAAACCACTTGAGAGGCGACAATTTGTCTGGGGATCCGCAAGTGCTCTAGGATTACGTCTGGAGAATCGTATCCTTCGAAGAAACCGAGAATGATGTCATAATAGTTGGACAGTGAAATTAATTGAGCCGTTGACCGCAACCAACTTGCAGACTGCCTGTCTGCGACCTTTCCTCGAACCTTCTTTCTCCACGGGGAAAGTAATTTATGGCTCTACATATAAGGCAGGCACTTCAAATGTAGTGCCCTACCAGAAAGAGAGAGGTTAAGAGAAATTCCCTTTGCAACAAAAACGAGTTCTTGGAATACACAAGGCTCATCTTTATTTATGATTCGGTTTGGTTTTGGACTCGGATGCATAGTTACCGAGAACCCGCTGGCCGGTGGGATCGAATGGGCTGCGCAAGTGGCAGTCAGCGCGATATTTCTTTCCCAAGATGTCCACCTCGTACTCCCCACTCTTTATGAAATCCGCATCGATGATCTGTCCATCTGGCCTGGAAATGTACGCCTGTCCGAGGGGCTTTCCCAGAGTATAGGCGTATTCAGCTCGTCGCAAGATGCCCACAGGTTCGCCATTCCGGTAGACACCCTCCAGACCCCAGATGGGAACCTGATCCTGAAGCGTCAAGTAAACCAGGCGCTTCTTCAGGCCTTCAGTTCGCTGCTTTTCGATTGCCGCCTTCCCACGGTATTCTGATCCAGTTTTGCGACAGGTGAAGCCCAAGCCAGCTTCCAGGGGAGTGTCATCCGGTCGGAGGTCGAAGCTCCATAAATGGTAGCCCTTCTCGCTGCTGAGGGAATACAGCGATCGGTAGCCAGCATTGCGCAAATCCTGTCCTGCACCCGCCTTCATTAGATTCCGATAGACTGCCACACAATCCTTCTTGGGCACATGAAGCTCGTAGCCAAGTTCTCCCACGAAGCTCACTCGGAGCAGGCGGAGACCTACATCCCCAAATTTGGCCAAACGAGTGCTATTCGGTGGCACCTGCTCATCGGACAGATCACAGTCTATGAGGGGCTGCAGGGTCTCCCTGCTGTTCGGTCCTTGAATGGAAATTACTCCAAGTTCGGCAGTCACGTCCTTGATGCTGGCATTGAATCCCTTTCTGCGGATCTCCGCCGAAAGAGAGCTGTATGTGTAGAAGGCAGAGGCGCCTCCAGCCACGATGTAGAAGCCCTGGCCATTAAACTTTGGATCGTACACCTCACCGGAACCACTGGCTAGACGGGAAATGGTCACATCAGCCTCCACTCCGCCTGCATCGTTTAGGGCACAGGTGTAGACAGTCCTAAAAGGATTAAATCAGTTATAAAGAATAATTGAGCTGAAGCCTTTATTAAATGTTCCTAATTTGAGAACCAACAAGAATTTAGAAAGAAACATTCTATAAATCAAGACTAATGTACTCTTGAGCTTATTTTTTGAGATTAAGCTTTTTTAAAACAGAGATTAATAGTCTAGATTTTCTTTTTCGAGACACAAGTCTCTCACTTCATCTAAATTTTAAAAATACTTTTAAAATCCTTTTCATTATAATGCAATCACTATAATGCAATGACAAATCAATTGGGAAATTAGAAACTCACTTGCTGGGATCCCGATTGGTGTTGGCCGAGAAGAGCCAATCGGCAGCCTCCTGGGCCTGTGGACCCTCAAGCAGAAGCTTGGCGAAATAGCTCATGTTGAAGACCACAGCGTTGTTACGGCAGGCCAAAGCCTCCGATCCGATCTGAAATACAGTAAATAGTTAAAACCCTGTAGATAAGGCAGCTGCTCCCGCTCACCAGATCGTGGTACTCCGAAAATCTGCTGTAGTGAAGGTCACCTTCGAGAACCTTTTCATATTCACTATCCTGGATTCTCTGGTGGCCATAGCTTCCGTACCAATCATAAGGTTGAACCACTGCCTTTTTAGAACCGGAGGGGAGAAAGAATCCAGGCCTCTCCCAACCCTGCTTCTCCTCCATCACGGCTCCCGCCTTCGTCATCTCATCGTGCAATGGATCCTTTTGGAAATCACGACCCGCCAGAGGTTGATCATACTTAAAGACCATGCTGTAGTTCTTGACGTAGCTCTCGTGGGACTTTTCCCTGATCCACTGGGTGGCCTTGCCCTGTTCCTGGGTGAATCGACGCAGATCGAAGCCGAACATGGGCAGATCTGGCTGACCCTGGATGACCCACAGAGCAGTCTGCTCTCCGCAACCACCTCCAAACATCATGCCCGCCGAATTGAAGCCACAATTGTGGTAGAGGCCATCCAAAATCGGATCTGGACCCATCAGGGGTTTGTGATCAGGTGTGAAGGATTCGGGACCGCAGACCGTGCTCTTCACTCCATATTTCGCATAACTGGGACACAGCTTCTGGGCGCCCTCGATATGAGTCTCGAACACCGACCAATCCAGTTCGTAGAGGCCGAAATGAAAATCCTTGGGCACTGGTTCTAACAGTATGGGATTTGGTTCATAGCCACCCATGCAGATAGCGTCTCCCTGGATGCGGAAGTAGGTGGAGTAGTCATGATCTCTGATGTTGGGTAATCCCCTCACTCCGGGAATGGATTCGGACACAATATAGGCATGCTTCATGGGTACCAGGGGAAGATGTGATCCATGCTTGGCCACCAGATCACGACCCCACGCTCCAGTGGCATTCACTACCTTCTCCGCCTTGATGTCCCCAAAAGGAGTAGACACACCCACTATTCTCTTACCCCTTGAAGTCTGCTCCAGGAGTAGGTCATCTACTCCACAATTTTCAATCACCATGCCTCCAAGATTGGAGGCTGCTTTTTTGAGAGCAGCACATAGCATCGCTGGATCCATGACACCATCACCAGGAGAGTAGAGAGCTCCCACAAAGGCCGCGGGATCCAGGAGGGGGAACAACTTTTGGGTGTCCTCGGGACTCAACACTTGGTTTTCAATACCCAAAGCTGAACCCACCGTGGCCAGTCTGCGATACTCATCCAATCGCGTTTCATTGTGAGCAATGAATATTCCACCGTTTTGAATCCAACCCGGATCTAAATCAGTTTCCTCCTCCAATCCCTGGAGCATGCGACGCGAATTGGCCAGCAGCTGGATATCCACATCGTTGGGACGCAGACGCCACAATAATCCGGCGGTGTGCCAGGTGGTTCCGGCCGTTAGTTGGGCACGTTCCAGAAGCACGGCTTTGACACCACGTCGAGCCAGGTGATACAATGTGTGACAGCCCGCTGAGCCACCGCCAATTACCACCACATCCGCTGAGGCTGGAAGGGATCCACTTGGTTCCCGACGTGCTCCTCCTTCTCCTTTCACTTGTCTGCTGATCCCCCGGCGGGATGTCTGCTGCAGGATGCGATGGCGCCACATTTTGAAATGCTACCGCGTCCGATGAATTTAGAATCTCAACTGAATTCTAATAGTAAGTCATACTACTGTCCCGTCTTAATAATCTCTCGTTGAATGGGTCTGATGAACCAATCTGATGACCCAGGGTCAACATCCTGATAAACCTGTTGCCCGTGACGCTCCATTCAAGGTCTGAGGCCCTTATCAAGGCTAAGACTCTAAAGAGGCCTCATCTTATCTCGGTTTGGAGGTGTGCCAAGTAGTAAAATTAGTTAGGAACTCGCTAGGTCAAAAAACAATTTAATCTGACCTATTTTAGTTTAAATATAGATGGTGTTTTTCAACTCATTTATTTGCTCTTAAGTGGCAGATTATAATTACAATATTAATTTTAATGAATATTTTAAAACACTTAATAACAGGGTTAGTCCGACGAACAAATTAATTGATATGTATATTTTTCCTATAATCTAAGGCCCTCGACTCTAGTTTGTATTTTATACATTTTTATAAATTGATTTGTTTAACAAAATGGTATATTATTGAGGAGCTAAGATAGGTGTGGTGGTGGTTAGATGTTCTGTTTGTAAAAAAAAATCTAGTTTCCCCATAATAACGTAAAACTTGGGACAACTACTCAAATGACTTCCACCCTGACCCCCAAACAGGATACGCAGTTGAACCACAGGATTATAATCTCTTCGGTCGCCCATTAATGCTAATGCTTATCCCTAAATGCACTACGAGACCGAAACCAGGTGGTGCCATCTGGAACCGGAGGCTTGGCACGCTTCGCACTCGCTTGTCGCACATCCTTAAGACGTAACTCCGAAATAGACCGATAAACAGAGCGATTCATTTTGAATTTTCCCGCAGTCTGAAGAACACTGGGCCAATGTGGTGGAAGCCAGAAGCCAAACATCCGAGAAAGAGACCGCCGATCGCACCATGTGTTGGGGTTCCTCCGCCAATTGGGATTGTTTGCGGAGCAGGCACGCCCACCAGAGGTGCCAGAAATAGACGGATTCTGGAGAGCCGAGAACCGAGAACGGCGGAGTGCAGAGTGCTCAAAAAGGAGGCTCTCCCCGTAACCCTTGACAGAAGTGCTCTTTGTGCCACGCAGATCGGACGTATTTGACTGATACATAAGTTTCGGTTCGTTACGGTTCGATTTTAAGTGAAAAGACTGAGTAATTGGTTTCTAATATCCAATTCGAATATTTTAAAAGTGATACTTGTGATACTCTAAAATTGTGTATAAGTAATGCCACGCAAGAAGCGCGCTTCCAGCCCAATGGATCATTTTGACGACGATTTCGATGAGGATGCGAGCTCTCAAAGTAAGTTTTGGTTGTATTTATAGAGCAATACTTATTAGGAATATTATTTCTTAAATCCGAATTTGATTTCTTGAAAAATCCGTCTTTTGCCATCTTCCCCATTTAAAAGCCTTCTGTAAGTTATGTCTTAAATTTTATTCTTACAAATAAAAGGATATGTTATATGTTTATTTCGGTCACTTCTACTTTTAACTTATCTTGTGCTTAGCATTATCAATATTCTTAAAATTTAAATCTTATTGTTAATTTAATAAAATCTTTAATATGTAAATCTTGTAAGTACCATGTCATTGAATATAATGTTATCGTACATGCAATATATTCAAAATGTTATCCAAGTGCTCTTAGGATAAAAAAAGTTTTTTTTTTCGTAAAATAATACTTAATTTAGGTTTATTTATAAAAGGGATTTTGTAAGAAAAATTTAAATTTCTTTAAAGCACGTTTAAAAACGATTCAAAAGCGAGGTCCTATTTCATTTATGCATACCGTATCATATCATATCTGATTTGTACCTTCCTAAATTCGCAGGTTCTCAGCCGCCGGTGCAGCGGAATGCGGCCAATGCCCGGGAGCGAATGCGTATGCGGGTGCTATCCAGCGCCTACGGTCGCCTGAAGACCAAGCTGCCCAACATTCCGCCGGACACGAAGCTCTCCAAGTTGGACACGTTGCGTTTGGCCACGCTCTACATCAAGCAGCTAATTACGGCGGTCGAAACGGGCAGCAATGGCAGCCACACCCACCCGCACCACCATCCGCACAACCACAGTCACCACCTCAACCACAGCCACTCGAGCACCGCCAGTTCCGACGGCCTGGACACGAGTCACATGGCAGAGGCCTCTGGAGGAGCCAATTACCATTTCCACAACAACGGACACGGCATGGTAAGTGTCATACTTGCGATCGTATCCCTGTCCCCCCAATAAGTGATGTCACTGGCACCACTTAACGATGCATTGCATCCGCGGCTTATGAATGGAACAGCATTAATGAGAAGGTGGATTTAAGGTGGTTTGCGTCAGATAATGACAGGTATCATCGGGGATCCACACTGATAGGCCCAAGATCAACGTAATCTAATTGAGTAACGATGATGAGCATTTTGAGAGATTCCTTATTAAACGATAAAACGATAGAGTTCTGTAGTGTTTTGGGGGGACTATTTAGAGAATATATGTAAGTATTTTAATATCATCAAAGAAATACATTTGTGGGGCTCTTAATATTTGTTTGTGATAAGGGGGTTCAAATATATCTATTGTAATCCCTATCAAAGAAATGTTCCCTTAGGAATTCTTAAGTTTTTCTTGTCATTCTAAGACAGTTTTATAAGAAATAAAAAGTATATGGCTATATATAGCCATATCCTATAGGATAAAGTCGTCCGATTTTAATGAAATGAAGAAATCGTATAAAACAATCAAAGTTCAAGCTACAAGCAATTTATTTTTAAGAACTTCGAGGTCTTCCATCTCCTTGAAACATACTTTTTCAAGAATAAACATCAAGTACTATCTTATAGTAACTTTAGTTAAATAACATTGTTCAATATCTCGGAGTAAAGAGGTAATGCAATCCAAGCTGACCGATGCGTGTGCATATATTTATGGTGCAACATCTGGTTGGTGATTTCGATACGAAGACAAGTATTTCCACCTTTCCTAGGTGGAGGTGGACCCATCCCCTTCCCCAAGACCGGAGTCAGCCATTCAGCCAGGCCCCCCACTAGAACATTCAAATCACATTTTGTGATTTCAGACTGCCTCGCTTTCCTGTAATTCGATACTTTTGTGAATTTCGAAAATATTAAATATGAGTGACAGGCAAGTGGAGCGGGGAAGAAATAGTGACGCTACCGCAGACCTGCGGATCGGGATGGGGGGCACTAGTTAGTCTTTGCCTTTTATTTTTAAAGATGCTCGACTTTGATGCGACAAAGTGAATGACAACCAAGGAAGGGAATGAAGTGTCGCCCTCAGTAGTTTTCCCACTCTGATAATTGTAATTAAAATTTGTCTAACCGTGTTTATTCATTCTCGCCGGAGTTTACACAATCTATCACTCAAGATTCATGGCGATGGCGCACAACTTATCTAAATAGAAGCAATTGTTTACCCGCCGAATGCGTGAAAAATTCAGCAAATACGGTTCCGTCTTGTGCCCATATGGCGGCAAATCGCATCGGATCGGAGAGTTCCCGACCCTATTCGAATTTATACCATCTCATGCCATCCCATCCCATATACCGTCGCACGCGCCCAAGATGATCTGGTGGGAACAACCCATTGGTTTGGTATTTGCTTGCTATCCTATCCCTAGCATCCCTATATCTTATTCCCATCCCCTTTCTCCATGTATGGCATACAAATGAGTGTCTCTTGTCCGCAAGTGTTTGGCTGTTTATGTTTTTATAGATCCGTTAATGAGGCTGTTATTGTAGATCTATGGATGAGGCGGGGGGCACTAAAAACAATCAAAGTTGCGTAAACAAACAATGGCGCTGTCTCGCATGGGTTGTCGTCATATTGTTCCAATTATAGCCCCTGCGGTTTCCTCAACATTTATGATTTATGTCTGTTTTAACCAGATTATTCGTATTATTTCTTGCAGAGCTGGCCCTTTGAGTTCCACCAAAGTAGTCGCAGTCTGGCCTATGTCTCGTCACCTTCAATCACCACAACCTCGTCCTCATCCACTCGCCTGGATTGGCAAACCCTGCATCAGCAATCCTATCCAAAGGACACGAGATGCGAAACCCATGTTGCGGCGGATCTCAGTTACCATCAGTTGCCGGAATCGTCGCATAATCACTGGTATCCGGCGGAAGTGCATCAAATGGAGCCAGCGGCAAGCTGTTCCTACGAAACGGGAATGGGGCAGCATCAGCGGGGTTTGGCCATAGCCACCAGTCACTCGCAAGGCATTTAAATGGATTTCCTATCTTGATTGTTGTTCTCATCCAAGCCAAATGTAAATTAATTTACCAACTAGTAAGTGTATTAAAACGTGATTTACTTTTACATGTATCCAAAGATTGGTGTTACCTCATGATCTTTTAACTAGCAAATATATCAATGTTTTTTAATAAAAGTGGATTTTGAATTTTATTTGAATTGGCGCCACATTGCGGATGGGTGCAGCCCTGGTACTGCGCTTTGCTGCAGCCATGGTCATTTTGCAGCCCTGGCAAACAGCTGATGGCGTGGCAATACAAACAAAGAGCTGCTAATAACAAAACAAAATGGTTTTTCAAGGCGATACTTGGATACCCTACTTGTTTTAAAAGTTTTAAAGTAAGAGCTTTTAATAAATTATATTAAGTTAAATTAAATTTGTTATTTAAGGTTATATGTTAAATATTTATTTAAGCAAAATAATTTGTAAAAATGAGTTAGTTTCTGCAATGAAAGTGCCAAAAACAAGAAAGTACTTAAGTACCCTTCACCTGCAGGGTATTTGTTATGTGAATTTAGTCATGAATGTAGTACAACAACAATCGCCAGAGAATAATAATTGTGCTAAAGATTATTTAAACACAAAAGCCAACTTATTACATATGTATTTTCGCGGTTAAAGTTCATCTCGCTCGAGGGCTAATGCCGATTAGATTTTGGTTTGTCGGATCAGATCGGCAGCACATAATCTGGAATGGATTTCCTGCACTAGTGGAGGAGCACTTCACCGTCCATTGAGCGCAATACCCATTTCGCCTCGGCCGCAACAATCAGTCAGTACGCGATATTCACCGAAGACGGACGCATTGCGGTGGCTCTACAATCTCTGTCCATAATCCACAACCTGTTTACGTGATTTGATTACTGCTGTACTGCTACTGCTGCTTCCACTGCAAAAATGCCAGCCAAACAAGTGAATCCAGACCTGTTGAAGGAGCGCAAAACAGCCACCTTCGATGCCAGGGAGTTCTCCGTTCTGTGGGCAGGAGGCGAGGAACGATTCAAGGAAAAGAAGGCCCTGGGTGAGCTTATGAAAAACACCGCATTGCAAGCTCTTCTGGTGACCCCGACAATCACTCACATTAACCGGTCGCCTAGAGCTTTACCCAAGCTTGGCGCAATCGCGTTTCCCAACAGCCCATACAAGAAATTGTGCCAGAAGCATGACTTGGCAATTAAACTAGGCTTGAACTCGTTAATACAGTTTTTTAGATTCCCCCTTTCTAAAACTAGCTATGTTTCATCTTCGTCAAGTATCAGGCCCCCTAATATATTGTTCAGAACTATATGTAACATTTATCAACCCCTTTGTTTTGATTCTACTCCAAAACAAGCTTTCTATGTATTATTTTCTACAAGTATCAGGCCCCTAATACATTGTTCGAAACTATATAAACTATACTTATAGATCACATATGTGTTTCCTATCAACCCCTTTGTTTTGATACGCTACTTCTTCGTCGATTCATTCATATGTTTTGATGCACACCCAAGCTCAGAGTTCATTAATTATGTATTCCGCATAAACAAATCGCTACAAGTTAATCAGCAACTATTAGCCAGCTCAGAAGTTATTAATCTTTGAACTTCGCACGAATCTCGATCAATCCGAGTTGCCGTGTACTTTGAATGTTTGGAGCTAGTGGCACCTTCTATTTCCAGAGCCACTTGAAATTAGTTTAGCTGATAGGTTTATCTGACAGATTTGCCCGGTTGCTCAAGGCATCATAAATGGACAATGGCCGGTAACACCCGCGAATTAACGAAGAATAGTCACCACTCATGATTACTCAGCGGAATTGGTTACCTTTAGCACATCCCATTATAGTAAAACCTCTTTCTTAACTGATACCTTTTCTTTATATTTTGTACAGAGAAAATGTTCTTGGAGGATCCTGCACTTCAGGATGACCTGCCCATCTCCTATTTGTCACACAAGGAGCTCTATGAACACAGTCTGCGGAAAGCCTGCATCATTGGGGACAAGATCCGTAAGCTCCGTGCTGAAGGCGAGGATGGAGTGGATACCTACAAGTAAAGCGACTCTAAATCAAACTATTGTGGATTGTAGATTGTAAACTGTATACTTTTATAGTGCTCTGCTTGGTGGATCCTTGGGGGCTGCTATCTTAAAGGAGGGCAATCCCCTGACCCTGCACTACGTGATGTTTGTGCCCACCATCATGGGCCAGGGAACAATGGACCAGCAGGTGGAATGGCTGAGCAAGGCCTGGGACTGTGAGATTATTGGCACCTATGCCCAGACTGAGCTGGGACACGGAACCTTCCTGCGCGGTCTGGAGACCCGGGCGGACTACGATGCCAGCACCCAGGAATTTGTGATGAACTCACCCTCACTCAGTGCCTACAAGTGGTGGCCAGGAGGATGTGAGTGCTTATTACTTTTTAATAATATGAAATTGAAATAAACCATTTGATCTCCAGTGGGACACACTGCCAACCATGCGATTGTGGTGGCTCAGCTCTATACCAAGGGCGAGTTCCGTGGCCTAGCTCCTTTCATCGTCCAGCTGAGAGATTCCGAAACGCACCGAGCCATGCCGGGCATCGATATCGGAGATATTGGCACCAAGCTTGGAATGAAGGGCGTGAACAATGGCTATCTGGGCCTGAAGAACGTTCGAGTGCCTTTAAACAACATGCTGATGAAGAACCAGCAGGTTCTGCCTGATGGCACCTATGTGGCGCCCAAGAGCAGCGTGCTCACCTACGGACCCATGGTAAGATTATAAATATTTATTATCCCTCAACTGATATTTAATAACCATTTTCTTCAAAGATGTTTGTGCGTTGTGCCTTAATCCGTGATACCGCCCTGAGCCTGGCTAAGGCATCGACCATTGCCACCCGGTACTCAGCTGTACGCCGACAGAGTCCCATTGATCCGAACCAACCGGAACCCCAAATCATGGATCACACGACACAGCAGCTTAAGCTGTTCCCCCAGATTGCTAAAGCCATTGTCTTCAAAACGACTGGTGATAACATTTGGAATATGTACAATGTGATATCCGGTGAAATCGAGCAGGGAAACTTGGATCGCCTCCCAGAAATGCATGCTCTGTCTTGCTGTCTGAAGGCCATCTGCAGTGCTGATGCCGCCGCCGGCGTGGAAACGTGCCGTCTATCCTGTGGTGGACATGGTTACATGGACTGCTCCAACTTCCCCACAATATACGGCATGACTACGGCTGTGTGCACGTACGAGGGCGAGAACACAGTGATGCTTTTGCAGACTGCTCGCTATCTGGTGAAGGTTTATGGACAGGCCCTGAACGGCGAGAAGTTGGTGCCCACGGTTTCCTACATCAACGATGCCCTTAAACAAAAGAAATTCGGTAACTTTGATGGATCGTTGGAGTCCATTGTCAAGGCCTTCCAGTTCGTAGCCGCCAAGTGAGTAGAGCTTAGCTACATTAAATAATTTAGAAGGTAATTATTCCTTAATTTGTACTTCAGCAAAACCCGCATTGCCTTTGAGCAGATTGAACTGCGTCGCAAGCAGGGACATGGTACTGAGGTGGCTGCTAATCTGTGTGGAACCTTTTTGACAACGGCTGCAGATGTAATTTAAAATCTCATGTTGTGTGATTATGTATCAAACTACATTTATTTTAAATTCCCATTAGCTTCATGGACGTGCCTTCCTGGCCCAGACCGCCTATACGGAACTCTTTGCCCTATCCCGCGAGGTCTCGCCAGCATTGTCTGATGTCCTGAAGGTGGTGTTGGAGCTTTATCTGGTGGACGCCTGTCTTAACCGCATTGGCGACTTTTTGAGGGTAGGATTCAGAAATAATTTCGGCTTAGAACATTATAAATAATATGCCTTTTTAACAGTTTATTGATCTGACTGATAAAGACGTCACGTCTCTAGAAGTGCGCCTAGAGAACTGTTTGAAGCGACTCCGTCCCAATGCCGTTAACCTGGTGGACAGCTTCGATCTCCACGATCGTGTCCTAGACTCTGCCCTGGGTGCCTATGATGGCAATGTGTACGATCACATCTTCGAGTCTACAAAGAAGAACCCTCTGAACAAAGAGCCAGTGAACGAAGCATTCCACAAGTACTTGAAGCCATTCATGAAGGCTCACCTCTAGATTTTATCCTGTTACTCGGGAAGTCCCTTACTATTATTACTCTTGTAAATATACCTATATGTTTGTATTGTTTTCGTATTACACAACAGTTTGCTTAGCAATTGATCTAAAAGATATAGATACACACGGCTTGTGCAGTTGGCTGTAAAAGTATACACAAATAAAATATTATTCAACAGCTTTTAGTGTGTGTATTTGGGCTTAACTAAATCGCTTTATTAAAGTTTTTTGTTTTTCTGATGGAGTTGCAAGATAGAGAGTAGCTCACTTTTTGACTTCGTACAGTGATGAACGGATTTACGACGCACTGGCCTTCGAGTTACGTTGTGCGTACAGACGCCTCAGCAATCGGTTGCCAGCCAGGAATGTGAATACTGCGATGGGGATCAGCAGGCGCAGTGTCTGGAACATATTCAGTTGCAGCCAAAAGATGAAGAATAGCACCAGGATGCCACCGAAGCCCAGGTGGAAGCCGATCGTGCTGGGCGCCAGGGTCAGGTTGGACACATTGATGCCAAGCTTGCCCCAGAACACGAACAGGAGCACCAGCGGTGTTATGCACAGTCCGGTGAAGATGTCGGAGACAATGCGAGGCGGACGCTTGTCGGGCACACGGAACTGATGGATTATCTCAGGCAGCGGACCAGAAGTGGTCTTTGGCTTGACTTCTGTAAGGAGATGAGTCTTTAGTATATTCCCTAGTTATAACCTGCTAATATTACCTTTGTCCTCGCTAAATTTCAACTGGACTTCAGCCACCAACCACTCGAAGGAGTTGGACAGGGAGGCGTCGCCCACGGTCAGGTAAATGCTGTACGTGCCGCTCTGGTAGTTGAAGTTCTTGCCATTGTTGCCCACGTCCATGTCAAACTTGTAGGCCTTGCTGCTGTCCTGCTCGGCCACAAAGATGATCTCCTTGTCGGTTTTCTTGTTGTACAGTCGCACGAAGGCCTGATGGACAGCCAGAGGCTTTCCATTCGAC